TAATTACTGGCAAAGGAATCGAAGCTAGTAGGAACAAGTGCATCGCTTCTAGTAACAAGTGCCTTACTAGGTTTTTTGCACTCAGGTCAGTCGTCGAGACTCCAAGGCCCATGATCGCCGCAAGCGAGTAGGAACCAGCAAGGCGGGAGCACACAGTTTGCAATGGTATATAAGGGATGTTTGTCGTTTCTGGTTGCTTCACTGACAGAAGCTCGATATTATCAGTTCAGTCCATCCGTTTAAAAGACTGAATTGACCTGAGCACAACCAACCCCAAGGCAGCTGACATTTGGTCGTTGGGTTGCATTTTCTTTGAGTTGCTCACGGGCCGCTTCCTCTTCGAGGTGCCTTTTGACAGATCGACTGACTTTGACCATTTTTTCATACGCTAATTTGTTGGGGGTCTTTGGCGTTACATGCTGCCTTGCGCTGTCGCTCCAAGCTGGAGGACTATGACATTGCCTCACACTGGGCTTGTGCCACTGGCAAATCCGGTGGGGACGTGATCAGCGAGGAGTTCGAAACAGTCCCACCGGGTCATGTGCCAGTGTTATGATGTAAAGATCAACGAAATGAGAAAAGACAAAAAGGTCAGGTCACCTTTAAAGGTGCCTAAGCTTCCTTGTTTCATTGTCTTGAAGAGACACTTGCTGATCAAGTCAAAAGTAAGCAACAAGCTAGAAGGCTGTATAAGTGAAGCCTAGATGCTGAAACAAGGGTAACGACCATCACCTCTTATGGCGGCGTAACGACCAGCACCTGCTTCACTCGAACACGTCCGAGAAGTTGCCGGTCACATTTGGCCACAACTCGCGACAGGATGCGATTAGTAGCTAGAAGCTACTAGTAACAAGTGCATCGCTACTAGTAACAAGGGCATCACTACTAGTGGCAAGGACGCTAGGATCTGGTCCAAGCTCAAGTCCCAGATCAAACCTCCCATAGCCAAATCACCCACCAAAGCACAACGTACGGCAATGGCAATGGGATTCCCATCAAAAACGTGTTTCGTTTAAAAGAATATCCAAAAAAGAAAAGCCGTTTGCATCAAAAACACATGTTTTCCATTGGTGCCTTGGTGCCCTGTTCCCTGTCTCCCAGTCTCCCGGATCCAGGTCGCTAGGAACGAAGAGTGGGTCACCAGAGTGGCCCAAAGTTAGATACCACCCAAGCAGAGAGGAGCCATGAAAGGCCAGGCACACAGTCATGAACTGATGTTGTGGGCAACACGCAATTCCACAATCTTTTTCTGAGCCATCCGAGGATCTAATTTTGAGCAGGGAACAGTCATGAAAGGGTGCAAGCATCCGTGGATTGATATTACCTCCGGCAAGCCTGCGTGCTGCACGCGTGCGCACGTGAGACATGACATGCAGTGGCTCGTGGAGCCACGATGCACACAAGTCGGGTGATGGGAGTCTCGTCCGGGAGTATCCAGTCACTGCAAACCCATATCAAGCGCGTAAACACCAAGTCACTGCAACCAATGCCAAAAACAAAACTCAAGAAGCCAGCGCCAGTGAGGACTGGTGAGGCTAAAAAGACTTACAGGATCTTACAGGTCTGATTGTTGATCAGGTTTGTTGATCTTGCATATTATGAGCATGAACATGTTTTTGGTTAGTCAATTCTGACAATTCTCTTTTAGATTACTGATAGAGATAATTAGGCACACCTTGAACCGTTCTTTATATATATAGTATCATTTTTAGAATGTATACATGCTTGTTTTGTTGTCACAAGGCAATGCTGTCAGCAGCACAGAGGATTTCAGAAGTTGAGACAACCTCGGCCGACGGAACTTGAGTGGGTTGCATGCAATTTCATTTGGCGCTGAATTTGTCCGGTTTATTACCCTTGAACCAAATCATTAGTGCATGAGCTATCCTGCGTCCTACCGCTACCTGGAAGCCGCCCTTGCATAATTGAGTAGGCACCTACTCAATTAAGTAAGGGCGGGCTAAACAAAAGCTTCCGCTAAAGCAGCGACTGCTGATTTTCAAGCTCAATGTCTGGGAGTCCATGTGTTTTGGACTCGTCGCCACTCAAAGTGAGCCCACATCCATAGACCATTTAATCCTGATGGATTATTGTAAACCAATTCAATTACCTGTCAACTGTTCTTCAATTTACTTGTAACGTTTCCGCAGCTTCACTGTTACTGGGGAGTGGATTTTTAGTTGTGTGGTGCGGGCTGGTTCATGGGGTGAGTGAGTCCATGAAATGGCTGTGCAACTTGCTCCCTTGTGTTGAACACATCCGCATAGCACATAGCTGCCATTAGCTGCCTAGCTTGGCAACATTTTGCAACCAGGAGAACGAAAGACGGCTTGACAACAATGGCCCTTTGCTGGAGTACTTGAGGCTCTTGGCCTTCTATTGCGACTTCGTGTTATTCTTTTCGCTATTAGGTTTGGCCATCGCTAGTAGGTTGGAGACCATCGCGACTTGTCAGGTTCCTACTGGTCCGCGATGCACACAGAAGACCCACCATCCAAATGGCCACCAAGAAGTGGGACACAAAGCCGCAAAGCTTTGAATGGGAATAGCAGTTTTGAGCTGATCTTCAGTCATTGTTCAATCTGTACTATGAGGATGTCAAACAACGTGTGGGTCGCCTGGCTTGGCCATTGGGAGAATTGACTCGTGTTCCGCAAGGTTTGAGAGCACTGCCATGGAGGTTCTCGGAAGTGAGGGCATTGCCAACGCCAGATTGGCACGTTTATGTCTACTTTGGTGTTGTGTGTACAGTTCTTGTGCTGATGGATGCATCACCAAGTATCGACGTTTTACGTCTTCTTTGCCGAACTCACACAGATTTGAAGATGTCGGAGTTGCATCAAGTTGCCAGCGCCTCATACTTGTGACAGGCTGGCTCCTGGACCAGGGCATCAGGCATGGAGCATGGAGCATGGACTTGGAACTTCATGGAAGTGTTAGTTCGATAACTTGCAACTCTTGTCCGCACAAGCGACACATGCAGCTACTAGGGGCTCCTGGCCTTACTAGGAACAAGGACAGTCAGTTTGATATTCAGGTTTCAACACGCCAGAGTCTCCTCGGAGCAGTGGGAAACTGAGAGCCATCTCATGGCACTTAAAGGGTCACAACTGATGGTTTGGTATTGGAAAGAACAAGAGAACTTGAATCAAAGCGGCTGGAAACCTGTGTGGCAACACTTTGTCAACCTCCACAATTCTGAGTTATGTATAGTGGTCCCCAAATAGACAGAAAAGTAACCTCCCCACTAGGAATGTATAGGAAAGCATTTCTATTTTGGGACCAATATTCTTTTCAAGAGAGCTCTTCTCAGAAGAATGCCGAATAGTGCCATTCCTATTGGCTTGGAGGCCATAGCATCGCGGGTCGTAGGTTGGAGGCCCTGACACGCTCCGCCTCGCCGCTTCGTCCGCTTTCAGTTGCGCCCAGCCTGGGCAGCAACAGCTCCGCAGGGGCTCGGTTACGACAGGCAGGGTTCGGTTGCTCTTGAAAACGTTCTGACGGCTAGCGCCTAGCGGGCCTAGCGGCTTCTCGGGTGCTATATTGCAAAGAAAGTGAAAGGGCTAGTAGCAGCTAATGGGCCAGTAGTTGAAAGACACAGCAGACGACTGTGGCAAGCCAAAGCAATGCATTTGGAACCTAAGAACAGCGTGCTTTCGAGCAACAGAAAAGCAGAAAGACATCATTCTTTCGAGCAACAGAACACGGAAAGGCCCAGGACGTTTGAATGAGGATGAATGAGGGTTATGCGCGAAGCTGTTACAACCTATTGGTGTTGAGAAGGCATGGTAATTAATGCAAAACAGAAGTCTGAATGTGGGAGACGAGAGAACTAGTTGTGAACCCCCTTGTGGGATGTACGTCGGCGCCTGCTGAGCTAGATTGATGCACAACAGTTAAGACAGATCTCCAAGTCTAAGTCATGGTCAGCCAACATCTGCTCCAGCAACATCTGTCAGCCAACGGGCCAACGGGTCTACCATTCGCACCAACTTTGTGCTAAAGTGCGCAACGAATTGCACCATCTTGCACTCTTATGTTTTGTTTGTTTGGGACAACTGCACTTGGTGTTGAACCCCAACATGCCAACATGTTCGGGGCATTGCGCAAGCCTCGATTCAACAAACATTAAAAAACATGGACCGAAACAGCCGTCGTTTGATCAAAGCTATTAGGTTCCTTTCGCTATTAGGTTTGAGGCCATTACAATTGGAGACTCTCTCTCTGTCGGAGAGTGACACGACGATGTTCCTCAAGAGACACTCAGAGTGAACGACAGGTGGACTCACCGACAGACATGACTGCGCGAATGACCCGCCTTGGACTTGCCTAGAAGTATGCATTCTAAGAAGGATATGCTTCATATTGCTTTATTACATTTGTCGCACTTCTTTTTGTTTATATCATTTTGTATTCCTTTTCAATTTTGATTTTCATGTCTTTCCTCCTGTTTATTGTTTGACCGATCCGTTTTTCCATTCTTTCTTGTTTAGTCTTAGAGCAACTGTTTGAAGACTTTCTGACATGTTTGCAAGCTTTCGCTCAGAGCTTCCCGCCGGACCGGCCTCTGACTTGTGCGGCGGTGAACGAAGGGGAGAGCTACTTTGCCAAGGCCGTGACGTGCACCGCTGTGCACAACCCAAAGCTGCAGTGCTTTGTTTTCCATGGTTCTTTGATTGAAACAACAAGAAAGGACGAAAGAAAGTCCTAACGGATCCCACTCAAAGATCGCAGTCTTGAGAAAAGACAGAGCAATTCGACCAGATTGTGCCTTAGGTTTTTTTCATTGAGTGCTCAGTTTGTCTTTCAGAACGCCATTCCTCAAAACTTGCAGAGAGCTCGTGACAAAGGTACCTTGTTGCTAGTAGTTTCTTGCTACTAGTAGTACGGCCAAGAGCCCCTAGTAGCATCCTTGCTCCTAGTGCCCTTTATTTCTAGTAGCTTCTTGTTCCTAGTAGTAAGGCCAGGAGCCCCTAGTAGCTTCTTGTTGGCTGCACTTCTCTTCGTCCTCGGAGGTGCTTTCCAACCTTTGCATCCTCGAGGTCAGTGATGAGGACCTCCTTGGTGGTCTCGGTGCATGCGTGGCCTGTTTTGCCATGTTTAATGATAAACTATATACAATTCAAGGGGCATTCAGTTCAAGCGGAACGCTTGCTTTTTTGTCCGCAGCTGCTGTACAAAGACTTGATTAATGTCAGCATCAGCTCTTACGGCATGGCTGGTTGAAATTGTGTGTGTGTGTCTCTTGCGTGTTAGTGGACGAAGTAACAAGGATTTCTGGGTCTCAACTTGAGACAGAGTTGATGAAGTACTTCTCTTTGCCTTCATAGAAAGATTCATCCCACCACTGTGCATATTCCTTTGTCGAACTGAGTAAAGCAACAGTCAGTTGGGATGATTGAGGTGCACCGTCACAACACAATCTCATGCCGCTTGTCGTCAGTCATATCTCTAGTGAAAGACACTGCAAGCTGGAGTGCTACTCAAGCAAGTTATACAAAAGGCATGTTCCCGTGAAGAAACTTGGTATTTTGCAGACATCTGTGTGTGAGTTTGAACATCAGCAGTCATGCACTTTGCGATGCCAGGTGCTTTGAAAGGCCGGCTGGGGCAGCTTTCGCCCTACACTGAGCGAGTTGCCTGTCTCACACCCAAGCAAGGTCTTGGCAAAGTGCCACTGCTAGTAGCGTCCGATCGCTCCGTTCGTAGCGATGCCCTTTGTTCCGTTCGTAGCGAACCTTGTTCAGTCTCCGAGGTGGACACACATTGTGGATTTCCGGTGTCATGGAGCAGCACCTTTGCCGTTGCAGGACATCCGACATTCATGAATACAATTCCTCAAATCACTTGTGAAAGGATAGTTCGATTGGCAATGGCAGTTTATGCCGTTCCTTCACCGACAAAAAACAACATATATACTAGAATCCAGTTTTTGTCACTTTGCAGCTGAAACTTTCATGTAGGCTTCTCAGAAGCATAAAGGAAGCTTTGCAATCATTCATTGCTTGTTTGCAAGGACATGGCCCGCGTTCTGCAGCTACCATGGACATCACCAGAAAGACCTGCGCTGGACGGGAGTGTGGCTTGTGGAGCGTTTTGGTCAGGATTGACATTGCCAGGGTCGGGACTTTAATGGTAGTTGTCTGCCAATCTGTTGAAAGTGCAGTTCATTGCGATCGTTTAGGTTCACGAAGTTGATGTTTAGACATCAAGGCGCAAGAATCGCGACATGGCGATCGACAACGACGTGCTTCGCGGTGCTTCGAAACGCATGTGTTGGATGCTTTGATCATGGGGCGGCAATGGCATGCTGCCATGTCGCTGTTGAAAGACACAAGTCCACTACGGCTGCATCTCATAGTGGCTTTCAATACTGCCTTGGCCTCTCTTTCAATGCATTCTTCTCGGCGGCAAAGCATTTGCAGATTGTTTCAGGCAAGACGCCAGTTCAAGCCCAGCATCGTAAGCTTCAACACAGCAACACATGCGTTAAGCACATTTCAAATAGAGAAATCTTTGGAGATGTTCCGTTTGGGCCATTTGGGCTTGAGGCTGAGCACTCTGAGCTACAACACGATAATCAGTGCATGCAGAGACGCGCAGTAGAACATTGCGTTGAATGTACTCAGTGCGTTGGCAGTTCAGTGTTTGGAATGTACTCAAACAACCCTTGGCTCTGTGATTGCTACATGTTCGTAAAGCAAGTGGGAGCTTTCCCAACGTGCTTTCCACTTGCACTTACGCTTGAATGCCGTGAGACCCACCGCGATTTCTTGTGGCGCAGCATTGGATGCTTGCGAGAATCATGACCAAACAAGTCCATTGCATTTTCTACGCGACTGACTGTTTTCCTTTCATGCGATACATCAGACACCTGTTTTAATGATCTGATATATAAGCCAACAAATTGAACCGTTTGTTTGCTCAGTGTGTCCGTCCACAGTGAGGAAGGGCTCACAATGGAGAGGGTTTTTGGAGTTGCTTGGTGGTTTGGTGAAAAGCCAAGTGGTGTAGATCTCGGATGTCTTGGGACGGTCCTCTTCGCCCTTTCACTCCAGATGTATTCGGAGCTGAGTGAACTGAGCACTTGGCCTGCGCCCCGCAGAATCACCCGGCAGTGTAGCAGTGCAGAAGCCAGCCGGCCATGCGGTGCAGTACTGAAGACTTTGTAAATCTTCTTCAAGCGGCCCTTGGTTACCTGGTTTGCCGTTGCCGCCAGCATCGCGCCTTGATCATGCAACGTCAGGAGTTTTGCCACTAGCAACTGGTAAAGACACTTCGGTGCCTGTGAGATGGTTGAAGGCACAGTTTGCTGGGCGCTTGGTCGTGAAGGAGTATCTTTGTCTTTGTGAAGGTCCATCTCTGGGAGTGGTTGGAACCAGCTCCCTGAGATCAGGACTTCGAACTGTATCCAGCACTGGACGAGAAGCACTCACAAAGTACACGGCTTCTTTCTGATCAAGTTTGCTGCTGTCTCCCTATATTGAAGGATACAGCCTTGTCAAGATACTCTGACTAGGTCACGTTAGGTCTTGAAGTTGCCTAGATTCTTCCTGAAAACGAGTTTGTTACTTGCAAAACCCGTTGCTGAGAATGCTTTCTAGCGTCTTTGAGCTGTTCTGCAGCGTGATGTATGGAGTGAGCAACTGCCATCCAGGACTGCAGTGAGCTGATACAGCTTGAAGTGACCATTGACTGGAGGAAACACCAAATCCGTGCCCACTTGGCGAGTATTGGCAGACCTTTGGTGAGAGACAGACGCAGTCTCGTCGGTCATCTCTTCATTGCCACTGAAAGTCTTTGGTATGAAAGGCAAGGCAGCTTCGGTCCCAAGCACCGAAGCCAGATGAACTTTCTGAGGTTCGGACCTTGACACCACGACCGCATGAGAAGCCACGACCAGCTGCGACTCGGAAAATGTCGCTCGGAAGTTCGACTGCTATGAACTTGAGCCCAAAGTTCCACATCGCAATGTTGTCTCTCTTTTCTATTCTTCTTCTCATGTGTTTCTCCCAGGAGTTCTTGGATCTCCTACCAACAGTCTTTGACTTTTTGAGGCACGGTGGTTGCATTTCTGCTTCAAGTTTCAAGTTTCAGCGGAAAAGTCCACCTTTGTGTCAACCTTTTCAGCCTGCAGTTGGAACCTTTTGCGTTTTCTTTGCTCGTACTTTGTAGTGCCGCGTTTACCACGTTTGACCACCAAGACGGCTGCCTCTAGGCATGCAGCCGTGCTGCGAGGCCGCAATCTCACCACACCATGCGCCTTGTGCACATACAGTTACAGGTACCATCAATTTGTTCATGAGCTACGCAATCATGCTATTGAAAAACTGATTTCCGATGGCTGTACTAAACGCCAAACTCAGAGGTTGCTCTTGAAGCAATACCGGTTTTTACTAGCCATCGCTAGTAGGTGGAGGCAATCGGTCTTAACGAACTACTCTGTTCTTTTGTTGTCCAAATTGTGGCTGAAGCAATTAGCATCAAACGGCAGAGTCGTAGGACAAGAGGTTGCATGCCTGTCCAGTTCACTCCGCTGTGATGTGTGATACGGAGTGAACTCAACATGCTGACTCGACGCTTTCTGAGAAGCCTTTGCACGAGCACGCTTCAGCATGCTTCAGCATCTACCTAAGGGCTTCAGTGAACTAGCTAGTCCATTGCATCCCGGTTTGATTCGCAAGCATGGCCAAACTGGCAGACATGGATGAGAGCGGGCTTCTGAGTCCTTCAGCCTTTAAGTCGACAGGTCGATCGTGTCGTTGAGTCGTTGATGGCCAACTTTCTAAGGTGTCGCGCTTGCCGCCTTGACACCTACAAAGCTCAGCCGAAAACTTAACCGAAACAGGCAAAGCCCCGCTGTCGCAGCACGTAAATTCTTTCTTTCTTCATTTTATATTTGGCAATGTTCTTTAGAAGGAACATTCTTTTCCGTTTTCCTTTTGTTGTTTCTTTGTGAGCAGGTGAGCTCCAACAAATCTTTGCAAACTGGTCAGTGCATTCTTGGACCCATGCAGAGCAAGACCATACTTGCAGGGCTCAGGTGACTTTAACGAAGACACTCACACCCAGCATCTTCAGGTATCGTATCTCCATCCATCTCATTGCATTTTGCCATCCTCCTGAAATCAACGTGCCTTCAACGTGCAGCGTACCTAGAGCATCCTGAAGTATCCTGATGCATCTTGATGCATCCTGTTTCCACAGAGAATTCGTCAACGTGCGAAGGTGACTCATACTGGTAGCACTCTCAAGACCTGAGGCATCCCTGTATGTCTTTCTAAAGCTCATTGTCCGCCTTATGCAAAGCCGCTTCTCAAGGCTTTGCTGATGTTCTCGAAGCCTTGGAAGCTGAGGACTCTTTCTTTTTTTTTAAGAACAAAGAAACGCGTGAACATGGGTAGCTACGGTAACGCAAAGCGTGGTGGTTTGAAGGCAATGCTTCCCTTTGACGTATCCTACATACAGGTTTGTGTGCTAGCGCTGATGAAAAGACTTTTGTTGGATATTGTCCATCCTCACCTTGTTCATTCTTCAGGACATTCCGGAAAGCCATCGCCAGAATGCGGCTTCGAAGCAATTTTTGGGGTCAGGTGTTTCCACTTTGCACATGAACATTGACACATGAAATGCTTGCATTTCTTGGTGTGATTGACAGTGCTTGGCTGCTGCTTCCGAACACCCTTGGTTTACAAATCAGGCTGTCTCGGATTTATATATATATATAATATATATATAGTAGGGCATTCACACAACTTCTTCCAAGGATGTCTAACTCTATAAGAGACTCCTGCACCTTGTTGATCATTATGTCGCATGAGGTGAAAGAGAAGAATGAACGCATTTTGGGAATGTGCCTTGGGGTCACCTGCCACTGGTCGAAGGCCAGATGGAGCGAATGGCTTGACTGGTCATTTGGGAACAAAAAAGACTTTCAGATAGCTTGCACTGAGTTTTGATCGCCTGAGATTCTCTTTCTCATCTTCACTAGCCCCCTTTCGGCTGCCGACCTTCTAAGACCAGTTTACTTTTGGTATTCACCAGCTTTACCACTGTTGTACTTCTCAGTATCCTCTCAACGGTTTCTTCCGTACCCGCTTTGTCAGTTGCCCTTCCTTCTCCTTCAAGCGAAAGTCATCCTCCCTTACCGTACAAAACGCGCTTTTATGCTCAAGTGATACTGCATGTTGCGTGCACATTGGAACCTCAGTTCTCCCAGGGTGCGACTATCTCATCTGCAACTCGCTCAAGGCACCGTGTCTTGCAGGATGTCTTGCTATATTATAGTCAACCAACATAACACATTTATGACCTTTCTCAGCTGACTGATCTTGTGGATGCATTCTAAACACATTTTTTTGAACCTCTTTTTTCACTTGTTTTCTTTGGCCTCTCTTTGGACTGTCTTTTTGTGCGAGTCTTGCCTTCCGCCACCTGCCCTGTGCTTGAAAGCAATCTCGACATTTCGAGGCCTTCCATTACCTCCCTCCTTTGCCGCTTTGCTCAACAGGCAAAAAGCATGGAAAAGCCATCTCGCTATTAGTAGTAAGAAGCTAGTAGGTGGAGGCCATCGCTATTAGTAGCAAGAAAGCAATGTTCTTCGTTAATTCATAGATGTGAATGCTTCCTGAATTGCAGGAGCTACCAGGCTTTGAATTCTCCTCCATCCAGGTCAACAAGGTGCATTTCGCTCAGCAACTCCTCAAATTATCTTTCCCTATTGAAAAGTCTGTTTAGCCTTTGGACCGTAGAACTTCCTTCTCTCCTTTCTTTCTTTAATTTTCCTTCCTTGGATCAACATGATTCAAGACTATGCACATGTTGCCGGCCCAACTTGACAGGACTACAAGGCGGCAATGCACGTTGACAAGAACAACCTTGGGCCGTCCTTTATTCTTGGATTAGGCACACCGAGCGCGCTCTGACGAGGCTGGGCAGTAATCGCTGGACTTGACTTGACACTTTGCTAGGTGATTACTCTGGAGGTTGGCTTTGGCTCGATGATGGCAGCAAAGTGGGGAGGGTAAAGAATATCAGGTGCGGAATTTGCTAAGTTTTCTAGCTATTATCTTTACAATGAATTGGGCAACAAAGATTGAACCGTCAGGAATAGATGGTTCAAATTCGACGGCCGGAAGCCGCATTGTGCGATAAGCTCGGATTTGCTGATCAATTTGCTGCAGATCACACACAACAATGAAAAGAGCAAGAGGAATCCACAGTGTTGAATTGAGCACAGGTGACTCCTTTCAGTGGTCGTCGCTACACCTTGGCTGCTAAGACTCAAGAAGCCAACGGAGTTTGCACTGGTTTTCCACTCAAGAAATGTTAGTTGTTCCATGAACATCAAAGAAAAACATCTCCCTTATGTACCGTTTGCCTGCTCAAGTTTATGTTGTAGTCGCACGTCAAGCCTTCAAAAGTTCCCGTGCCAACCAGTTACATCGAGGTTTTCTTCACATACTCCAATCCAAAGATGGCAACTGCTCTCTCTGCAAAGGACGTGTGACATGCATGCCCTGGCACACCTTTGAGCGTTGCAATCGTTGTGCAGGAGGAACGCTATCTTCAACAGCTCGGCTTCCCATTGCCCAAGGAGGTGACGCTTTTGAAGGGAGTGCAAGTGACAAGATGTCAAAAGTGTTACAAGACTCTGCTATTAGGGTGGAGGCCATCGCTAGTAGGTTGGAGGCCATCGCTGGTAGGTTTGAGGCCATCGCTCTTAGGGTGGAGCCCATCGCTAGTAGGTTGGAGGCCATCGCTCTTAGGGTGGAGGCCATCGCTCTTAGGTTCCTTTGGCTAGTAGGTTGGAGGCCATTACAATTGGAGACTCTGCTATTAATGGATCAAACACGATCTTTTGAGGTTCTATGCCACTCAGCGCCAAAGTTATCCAGGATGGCAATGGCTCAATTTGCATAGCTCTTCTGCAGTCCGAATCGATGTTTCAGCAGCATATGGCTTGCTGTTGGCGGGGGTGCGGAATCAGTGCCAGGGAGCTTCTGCCGGCAGTTTGGCAAGTTCCACGAGCTCGACGCGTCTTTGAGCGGTTTGAAGATGAGGTGACGAAGCAGTGTGCATCTTCGACACGACAGTCTGTGGGACAAACAGAGACTCAGAATAATGCGAATAATAGTACAAAGTCTCATCATATTGTCAAAAGCACCACCTTCTGCTGATCATCCCATTTGCTACTAGTAGCTTCTTCTTACCGATGCCCTTGTTACTAGTAGCTTCTTGCTACTAATAGCGATGCCCTTTGTTACTGCTTGCAACTTTACTGTTAGGCCCAGGCCTACTACTAGGAGCAAGAACGCTACTAGTAGCAAAGGGCATCGCTACTAGGAGCAAGGACGCTAAAAGGAACCAAACGTGCCGGAAAAGCTGGAGGTGGAGCGCCGTGGAGGTTTGGGGCGGATGCCACAGCCGGTGCAGGAGAGGGTATGAAATGACCAGTGAAGTGAATGTCACAGTGCTTACATTTTGTCCTGCTGGTTTCGGGCTGGCCGGGGTAGGTAGGGAGGTAGGTAGCTACTAGTAAGTAGCGCTACTAGCTAACAAGTAGCTACTGATCGGACGCACAAGGGCTCTGGCTTCTTCAAGGAAGGACAGGAGCTTCCTTGAAGACATCTTAATGATTCAGTTTAGTTTTTGGGAAAGTCAACAGAATGGTGCATGGCTTTTTTCTTGCCTCAAGAAGAGAAGGTTGGCCAGAAGAGATTGCACGCAATGCTGGAGCCATCAATGTGGCCACCTCAAACTTGCCCAGCTTTGCCCTTGCCAACAGTTGATCGGAGAGGCCCTGCGTATCGCCTAAGGCCCCTGCAGATGCTTTGCAGAGCGCTTCAGGCGAGCACAGCGCGACAACCCGCGTGAATTTTGGAAGTTGTGAACACTCGATGGACATCAATGGACCAGTGGGTAAACCAGTGGGTTGCCGGATGTCACGACTAGTGTATCAGACCAGTTAGGTCATATTGAACCTGACATAGCCCGACCATTTGGTGCAGGAGCACGAGAACGACCCCAATGCTGAGGCTCTTCTGACCTATCCGTGCTACTAATAGGCCTTATGTCTCCAGAGTCGCTACACCTCAAAAAGTATCAAGAAAGCATGGTTTTAGAGTTCTTTTTTTGTTTAAGGGGGAGTAGGCCGTAGAGGTAGTAGCTAGGTAGCTAGTAGAAGAGGTAGCTAGTAGCTTAAGTAGCTACTACTTAGGACGCAGGACAGCTCACGCTTCCTTGAAGAAGCGCTCGCACTAATGATTGGGTTTCTAGATTTTTAGGAAACTTAATTAGCGATGGCCTCCAAAAGAACATCAAGAAAGATACGCAAGCATTTTTCACGATTGTTTCAACAACAAAGTAACTTTGGCTGTGGCACAATGTGGCACCTGTTTACACCTTTCCAGCTTGTGATTACGTGTTCTATTGTAATTCATTGATGTGTGGGACCAGAAATAGACTAAAAGAGTTCTGCCATCTTTGAGGCTTCGACTGCGGTCCACGCCCATTCGGGTGCCAATGGCGGTCTCTTTGTCGGCTCGTTGAGGCACAGGAGCAGAGTGAAGGTGAGCAAACGAAGACCATGGCTATCTCTTCTCCTTCGTTACATCGTTTGTCATTGTTTAGTTCGACCTACCTTTTGAGATTCGGTGGCACTGCGTGGATTAAGTTCGGAGAATTTGCAACCGCGTTCTCTTCGGCTCGGTTGGAACATGTTGGAACCGTCGGAATGATCGGAATGAAAGCAACGCGACTCAGCAGGCTCCTGAAAAGCGACAGCATCAAGCAGCTGTCACTGGGCCGCAGGCTTTTGAAGGCGGGGCTGCAGGGCAGGACATGCAGAGTTGCTTGCAGAGCTGCTTGCAGAGTTGAGAGGTGCTTTTATGATCCCAGAAATGCGGAGGGTTGCGCCCTGCCACGAACTGCCACGCCAGGCTCGCCGTTTGGCTTGAGAAGGTCTGCTTGACTCTGCAAGTAATTCGCTTGTGGGCACACTCGGGCACACTCGGCTTCGAGTGTGGCAGCTTCCAGATCGATCTTTTTCTTCACGGTTCACTTCTCATTTTCTCATAAATATGTTTCTGTATGTTTCTCAATTTTATTCGAAATCTTGTTTGACCTTCAAGATCGAAGTCTAAGAAGTATGGAGTCCTGATGGAGTCCTTGGATGTTCCGGGGATGAGAAGGCCTTAGCTGTCTTTGTTTGCAGGTTTGTACGGAAAAAGCCAGAGTTCGTGCTGTTTGACGCCAGTCAGATCTTGTCAGCTTGTCTTTTGACGATGTTGTGTTAAGTTCACTCCGAACTCCAATGGCAGAGGCGTTGTACTCTTCGTGGATGGCTACGCAAAGGCACGAACAGCACCTGATGGCCCGATGGCACCAAGCGAGTCTGACGAGTTCAGGTCTCAGAGCGAAGTGGCGAAGCGCCCAAAGGCGTGCTCAAAAAGCAGAGAAAGCAGAGAAAGATTGAAAGAACGGAAGAAACACATATTAAAAAAGGTGAGCGACTAGATGTCAGAGTCCAAAAAGAACAGTGCAAGGCAAAAAGAACACCATGCTCAATTGTTGTTGTTATGGAGAAACAGCATCGCCCTTCTTGCTTCCATTGCTTGCCTTTTTGCATCCGACAGGTGGCTCGAAGCGTCACGGAGGCAGGAGACCGGATGAAAAATGCAAAAAATATAGGCAGAAATCAGGAGCATTCTTACTAGTACTAACAAGAAGCTACTAGGGGCTCCTGGCATCGCTACTAGGAGCAAGGACGCCACTAGGGGTTCCTGGCCTTACTACTAGGAACAAGAAGCTACTTGGGGCGAATCTTGGCAGGCCTGGCCATTGGTGCAGTTTTAGCGCTCGTGGCGGAGAGTTACCACCTGGTGGGCTGTGCCTATGTGCTCTGAAACCAGCAAAGACTTAGAACCCAACAATTTGACGAAAGGCAAAGTCAAACAGGTGGGCAAGTGATTGTGTAAAAGAGCAAGATCTGCGAAAGCAATCGACAAGAAGACGTTGTCATTGAGTAAGAGGGGAGTTGAAGGAGCTAGTGGACTTATCAAGTCCTTTTCAAAGCCACACAATTTGGAAAACGGAAAGCAACATTGAAAGATACTGCATTTGCATGCATTTTTGTGTGAAGGACATCTACAGCGCATTGTCCTACGTGAGTTCACAGCTACTAGTCCTTTGCTCAGAAAGCCGCTACAAAAGCAGGGGGAATGCTGCTGGTGCTGCTACTGCTCCTGCTGGTGGTGGTGGTGGCGGTGGTTGTGGTTGTTGTTGTTGTTGCCTTTGTGCGTTCAGGATTCAATGCCAGCTATTGATATTGTTCCAAATGCTGGATACTTGTATCTGACATGTTGTGATGCGGGTGCGACAGAAGAAGTCGACCTTGTTCTCTCGCAAGGTCGCAGCACTTCGGCCAGATGTGGTTCGGGCATTAGCAAGCTGGCAGGAAGACCCGGGGCCACTAATAGCGTCCTTGCTCCTAGTAGCGATGCCCTCTGCTCCTAATAGCTTCTTGTTCCTAGTAGTAAGGCCAGGAGCCCCTAGTAGCGTCCTTGCTCCTAGTAGCGCAGGCGAGATAATATTCTATCCCTCGGCCTATCTGTAGAAAACCATTGGGCCGCGGCGTCAGCTATCTGGTTTTGAGCGCCAACAGGCCTTTGGTCTAAAGTCTAGAAAAGCGTTCTGTGAGGGTTCACATGTATTCAAAGCAGTGCAGTTATCGAAAACTCCAGAAAGCAGTCCTTGTGTGCAAAATGCCCTTTATCGTTGAGTCTCACAACCTCGGGTTGAGCAGGAAGATTTGCGCTATGGGGCGTGGGCGCGCTGCCGGAACTTGGCACCTTGGCATATTTGTCCGCAACTGGTCCCGAGTCAAGAGATCAGTGGCCAGATCCGCTTGTGGCAGGTGCGCATTGCTTGCTTTTGTGGCGCATGCCACTGGTGAGCTTAGAGGGATGGCAACTGGGGCGTCGATGCTTCGCAGCGCCATTCGTCAGCAACATGAGAACTGCATTTCTGGCTCAATTCATGCAACCAGCATGGCGAATTGGCAAATCGCAAGAGAAACATGAGGTCATCGAAAGTCATCAATTGAAACATGATCAGGCCATGTTTTTCAAACATGGTCAAAAAAGGTTCTAAGTATAGTTTGCTATTAGGGTGGAGGCCATCGCCGATAGAAACAAAGAACAAGAAGAGGAAGATTTAGTAGCTAGTAGCGTGAGCAGCGTGAGCAGCGTGAGCTATCCTGCCTCCTTCCAGTCGTTCACCATATTTTCCTGAAGTAAACCTGAAGATGTGGATTCGCATCCGCGTGATTGACAGACAAGCTCCAAAGGCCAGCAACCTGCTTTCGGCTTTGCTCTTGATCAGTAAATGTTTTGGCAGATGCAGTTTTGAATTGTGTTGTACGATGCCAATCTGAAAAAAGAAACAGAAGCAGGAAGAGCACGAAGAGCTGGAGATTTGCGTGCTGGAAGCGACTCAACTGATGCTTGGTTGCCATCACAGTAGATCACCACACTGGATCATGATGTTAAAGCTCGTTGACAGAAGGGTATTGTCTGATTCTTTTGCAAACACAAACGAGAACCGTGTGGATGTCACTTATGCTCTCCATGGAAAGAGAGAGAGAGGGAGTTGATTTGAACCGCTTTTGATAACCAAGCCTCTTTGTGCGACGCTCAGGAAGCAGCTGCGAGAACTCATCCAATTGCGTTTGGCGCAAGAGAACAAGGCAGTTTGGTACAGAGGAGAGACATGCAGATGCATGGAGCCTCACACGGAATAACTTCTGCGAACACTAGTTGCTGGTCCAAAGATTTGTTAATTTCTCCTCAAAAACATTTAATGCACCTTCTTGCAAGTAACACCTTCTTGCAAGTAACACAGGTTTCATGTGGCTCATGCCTGTGAGTGTTGTACCTGAAACCCTGAAATCAGGCACTACTAGGTGCAAAGGGAGACGAAGGAGACAGATGCCTGACTCAAAAGCGCGAAATGGCTGCGCAAAGGTCAACCGAAACCACAGTTTGTCAAAAGTATGCTTGAAGCTGTGAGAGGACTGATTTCATTGTAATAGGCTATTCAATTTGAGTCAAGTTTGAGTGTGGCTCTTAGGTTGGAGGCTATCGCTAGTAGGTTGGAGGCTGTCGCTATTAGATGCTATTAGGTTGGAGGCTATTGCGTTGTACTTCAAGTGCACTTTTGATTTTCAACTGGTGACTGCTCAAAGGTCTCCAGTAGCTCAGCTGATGTCTAATTGGGCTTCTGCTATTTCGCGAGCAAGCACCTAGCGCGAAGTTGCCCAGGTTCATCACTGCAAGTGGTTTTCAATGGCCAGCTTCTATCCAGCGAGGATGATGAAAAACCATTGGGTTGCTTTGCCCAAGTACTGCTCCTTTTATTTCACCCTAAAATTCTAGGAATCAAATCATGCGTGTGGGAGCTATCCTGAATCCACGTGTGGTAGCTTAAGTAGAGAGTAGCGAACTTCTCCCTTACTGAATTAAGTAGGCACCTACTTAATTCAGGACGGGCTTAAAATAAAGAGCAACAAAAAGAAAAACGGTCCTCTTCCATCAAATTTGGCATCAAGCACCTAATGCTGCCCTTTAGCCTGCAGCCATCACCAACATGTTTTGATCTTCTCTGCAAGCAGCTGATCTTCAGCACAATCTTGTTTGCATTTTTGACGATGGTTTTGCGAGGTCAGATGGGTGTCAGGAATGGTTCAGTCTTCTGCTGCCTTGTCTCGCAGGATTCTCAGATCTGAATATCAAGCAGCAGCATGCCTCGGCATGACGTGTGATTAGAGTTGAGCGGCGCAGAAGCTTATGTTTCAGGTTTACTTCCCACACTGTGTTCGAGCAGCAGATGTGCTGCTTCCCGCACCACTGTTCTGTGGATGGTGGTCGCGTGGTACATGTTCTTGGAGAGCCTTAGCAGTTAGAATAACTCTTAGATACTTTTTGGTGTTCTCGCGCTATTGATCCAAGATGATCTGAGTCTTAGATCTGGAATGCTCGCATAGGCCTTGAACAAGAATGCTTCCTTTCCTACCTTTGCTGTTTCTTAGGTTCTTTGGTCTGACATGCCTTTCCCCAATTTGGATCAATTTGGAGCAAATCGCTTGCTGTAAATCGCTTCTGCTTTGCTTCAGGAAAAGTTTCCCAACAGTTCCCGGACGTCATGCCGTTTTGGACGGATTGTGACTGGCGCCACCATTGAAGATGATGGCACCGAGGGTGGAATATCACAGTTCCTCGTTCTTTTTTAAAGATATAGTCCAAATTAGTAAGCCACATGCCATAAGCTTTATGCATGGCAAGGTTACACTTGTGCTCTTCTAATATGGGTTGCATTGAAAAAGAATGGGAGAAGATCCGCTAAGGGTATCTTGTTGACTGCTTTAGAAAACTGTACGATTCAAAAAGTACTACCAAGAACGCTACTAGGTGGAGGCCATCGCAAGCAGGTTGGAGGCCATCGCAAGTAGGTTGGAGGCCACTACTACTAGTAACAAGAAGCTACTAGTAGGACAGGGCATCGCTACTAGGAACAAGGACGCTACTAGTAGCTCCTGGTCCTGGCCCTATTATTAGTAACAAGAAGCTACTAGTAGCAAAGGGCATCGCTACTAGGAGCAAGGATGCTACTAGTAGCTCCTGGCCTTACTAAAAGTAACAAGAAGCTATTAGTAGCAAAAGGCATCACTACTAGGAGCAAGGACGCTACTAGTAGCTCCTAGTAGTAACAAGAGGCTACTAGTAGCAAAGAGCATAGCTACTGGGAGCAAGGACGCTACTAGTAGCTCCTGGCCAGTAACAAGAGGCTACTGTCTCCTTCTGTCCGTCTCGATCTGTTTGTGTCAGTCTGTCAGTCCGGGCAGGACACACGGACGAACACACCCATGATGTTAATAATGCAGTTTTGCTCGGGCTGCGCAACCGGCATCGCGAATGCTTAGCTCTGAAGCCACACGGACAGCCATACACACGATGTCAATTATTATCAAAGTAAAAACCTTAAAAGCACAGCATTTCCCAAGCAAAAATGCACCCCCCCCAAGATAAAAGCTTAAGCTGCTTATCTAGCAGCTGATCTTCCAGTCTACGCAAGCCGACAACGCCTCAGCACCTTCGGTGCGGGCGGACTTTCAAAAGTTTTTCTTCATCCTCCAGCGACCCCGGAGATCTGTACGTTGACCGTCGGGAGATCCGTGAAATTCTGGGCACCTTGGTTTTGTTCACATTTTTGTTTAGGTTGATCGGCAGCGTCTACGAAATAGCATTCACACCCTGCGTTTGGGAAGCGCTTGCCACATTCCTGTTGTTTTCTTCAGGCTCCGTTGCGTTGCTCCACCACATCCAGCTGGTCCTGTGACCATCAGTGTATCCTTCGATGGGGGCATCACGTGGTTGGAAGGTGACTGGAAACTCTTTGGAACTCTTTATTCTCGAAAGCAAGTGTCAGCTTAGTTTCGTGTCTTTCGTTTATGCAGGTGTTTTTGTGGTTTTGCATCTTCAGCTTTCATACATTTTCACAGGTCCGACCTTTTGGTACTATGACCCTCTGGTGTGTTCCGGCACCTATGGCTGCTCAGAGAAGTTCAGTGAAGCTTCTGGTGTAACGAAGCATTTTACGAATGGCCTTTTATTCCAATTTCCGATTTTGGTATCGCAGCTTTCCCATCGGTGATCAGGATGGTTTTCCAAGCGGTCTTGCACCATGCATCTGGCTGAACAGACAGCAGAAAGCAGCTCAGGTGTTTGTGTGCCCGCTGATTGTGGTGCTGGAGCCATGCCCGTCGCGCTAGAGCAGGCCCCTTTGTTTGATCAGTTTGATTCACTATGATTCACTAACTCTTCCCAACAGGGGTGGGTAAACTATCTTTAATCTGCCCAATGTGGAGACCTAATTGACCTAATCGGATATCGTCGCAAATGTTGCTGTTGTAGATCCTCATGTCGCAAGGTTATTTTGTGAGAACCGAAATGGTCATCCAGAGCGCCTTGACCTCCCGGAGACAGGTCTGACATGCACACTGCATGTTGCATGGACTGAGGGTGGTGCTGCGATTTGCGAAGAGAACCACACTTGTCAAAACTCAAAAGTTGAAGTCCAGAGTGTCGATGAAACTTCAGTCAGCACCGGAAAGGGCCTTGTCGGCCAAGGAAGAGCTGGTCGAACTCAATCTTTGACGTGTATAGTGTAGTTCTTATAGCCACAGAAGGTCTCAAAGTACAGCCAAATTGTGGCCCAGTTGCAGCATCGAACGGAGATCCTCAACTCTGTGGGTGACCTGTAAGACTGCAAGACCATGCAAGATCCCAGTCGAGCGTTCTGGGGTATTTCAGTTAAGTTGCATTCTTCTTGCTTGTAGGGTGCCACGTAGCTGGGTGTGTAAGTAGGCCTAGGGCAACGGCATCATATCCGGCCACTCCACAGTGATCTCCACTCGAAGCAACTGATGTGCAAAGTGAATGGAGGCAGAGGCAAAGTGTTGGCAAAGTGCAAAGTTTCATAAAGTTTCGCAGAGCGTTCTTTCCCGAAATCTCAGGGATGATGTCAAAGGGATGACGTAGCATGGGGGTTCTCCAAAGTGTGACGACACTATTTGGAGGCCTTTTGCAAAGCAACAAAATGCCAGGGAACGTCCCGAGATTTTGCCCACCTTTGCCTCGTTTTGCCATTACAGATCATGGATTCTGCTGCATTGAGTGGCCTTTAAAGATTTTAAATGATGCAGCTGGTATGAATATCCCCACAGCGCGTTGATTTAACGATTGGTTGCCATGTGTTTAGTGCGCTTCAAGAGGTTGGGTTTTCAGCGCCAGGTACGTGCCGCAGGCATATCTCTCCGAGACCGACACCCTGGCAAACTTGCAAGCTTGATGTCAGCGCTCTTTGATTGACTATTCAAACATATTCAAACTATTCTCAATTCTTTTCCAAAGTGGTGCCACTCTTTGAAACGTCCGAGCATGTTTTAGCTATAGTCACAGCCGCATAGCCTGTCAAATCGAAAGATATCTAAAGCCTGGGAGTCCCTGCGCCTCGTTCTTTGAGCCATAGCTATGTGCGAAGGCACATCAGGCAGTTTGTACGATTCAGATTGGCAGCATTTGGCTTGCAGCTGCATTCAACAACATTCCTGGCAGTTGAAGGGAATAGATTCAAGTGAAGGTGGTCGTTGTATCCAGCTTTCCCATGCTTTCCCCAGTGATTGCAAACCATTGATTGAACAAAAGTCGTTTGAGTCTTGCCATGTCCAAGCGCAAGACCGTGTGCATGGCGCCTGCGTCATCTGGAAACATCAAAGTATGCAACTTTGCTGAAGCTTACCATTGACTCTGTTCACACAGTGTTGCTTGGATTCACAGAAGGGGAGCTTCCTTGAAGCAGCGCGAGCTATCCTGCGTTCGTACTAGTAGCGAGCTACTAGCTACTACCTACCTCTATTAGCGACCTACCGGAGCGTCCTTCCTCCTAGTAGCGATGCCCTTGTTACTAGTAGCGAACCTTGGCCCTAGTAGCGATGCCAGGAGCCCCTAGTAACGTCCTTGCTTCTAGTAGCGATGCCCGGAGCTCCTACCCCCAAAAATAGCATCACCGGAGTCCCGGACACTTCCGCAATTTGCAGATGGATCTTCAGAAGCCCTCGAGGTGTGCGCTTGCGGCCTTTCATCTCACGGGAGGAGGGCGAAAGATGTTGTGCCGCGATCCTACACGCGAAACGAAGACAAAGGAGATGTAAAAGGACAAGGTAAGGGTTTTAAGGGATCCTTCAATGAAGGACCCTTCAATAAGGGCCTTTTTTAAAGGGGCCCTTAATTACCTTTTCTTTTCATATCTTATTCTTTTGTATTCATTCTACGGACTGCCATGTTCCAATTACTGGCGCAGAAAACGTCCTGTCCTGGGTCCCGTTCACGTACTGTTTGCGCGGTTTGCTCATCTCTTTGGCCTAAAGGTCTTGATGCCCAATGACACGCAAGTGCTGCTCGATGACGGCTACAGTCTCGGTGTGGAGGGGAGTTTGTCATGGTCTTGGGATGTCAACGAAGCCCAGAATCAGGTCAAGACATGTCAACATCAGTGCGAAGCTTCGACTATGAGTCCTGCTTGCAACAGCTTATCACAGCCTGTAAACAAGAGGCGGTCCAGGTCTAATCGATACATTCTGGCTGTGTAAGGATAGGGCTTACTGGTCGTTCGATGACACGAACCCCAGATGCCGCTAAGCCGCAATGAAGGTAGATGACACAGCATGGAAACTGCAGAAACAAGGCTGTCACATGAGCTGTAAAGGATCAAGCATTCTGTTGTGTTGCAGAATCCTAAAAGTCGTACGCCTATTGTGACATAATCAGAGAGGTTACAGGGGCTTTACGACGGCAATGGTGAGAAGAGGGTCCATGCACCCGGCCAAGGACTATGTCCCCCATTCAAACACAAGGAAGAACAAAGGCTTTCGAGCATGCCAGACCCGGCCAACGTCCTTTTTGGCGTTAACCAAGGTGCTACGCAACAGACTTTGATGGTTTCTTCCTGAGATGACGAGTAGATTTTTTGGCCTTGCTGATGTTTGCGCTTGTTTTGTAATTTTAAGCATCCGAGGATGAGCTTGGCTTTCGCCTCAGATTCAGGGTGCGCCTGCGACAACAGGTATGATTCGCTTACGATCGCTGATGGATGCTGCAAGTACTCGTATGAGAGAGTGAGGAAGTACAGTCTTTCGCTGACAGCAGATCCAGGTGAAGCTATGTTGGACAACGCTTTGGATGGATTCAACAACTGCCTTTGTGCATACGGCCAGACTGGCTCTGGCAAAACCTTTTCTGTTCTCGGCGCCTCAAGCTTGCACTGGTCGATTCACAACGGTCCATAGGTTGATTCAAGGTGATTCGTTGTGCGAAGATTCCGTTCATTTTGAGTTGTTGAATGACGAACAAGGAGGGCTGGACGTTTCAGGATCCCTTAGGCAGACATATGCAGACATGCAGAAATATGCAGAAATATGCAGACATGCAGAACAAACATCTCCAAATGCAGAGCATTCAAATCCAAACGACGCGCAAACGACGCACGAGGTGCAGACGATCCTCCAGAGAGCAGAGGGCTCTTACCGCCACTTGGGCAACAGACATTTGGGTTCTGGGGAAGAGATTCATCACATTGATGTGCTTGATATGTTCGCCATTCTTTGCCACCTGACAAACACAGTCTCAACACACATATGTTATCAGTGTTGCCTCCAACCTACTAGCGATGGCCTCCAACCTACTAGCGATGGCCTCCAACCTAGTAGCGATGGCCTCCAACCCAAGAGCGATGGCCTCCAATCTAGTAACTCAGTGTCTTGCAAAATACGCCTCTAAGTGAAACTGAGTGAAATCGCTAGTAGGTTGGAGGCCATCGCTATTAGGTAGGAGGCCATCG